TGACAGAATACACTAACACATGTTAGAGTACGATTAAATTGGCACTATAAACTGTAAGCACTGAAACAGACAGGGCAAGTTAATTTACAAGGTACCTTTCATACAAAAAGGCAGACAATTTTAGTTATGTAGCGCCAAGTTGCCTCAAGGCGCTTTATATTGTAAGGCAAAGACTGTACAATAATACAGACAAAACAGAGAAAATCCTAACAATCATATGGCACCCCGTGAGTAAGTGCTTTGGTGAGTGTGGGAAGAAAAAACTCCCTTTTAACAGGAAGAAACCTCCAGCAGAACCAGGCTCAGGAAGGGACAGCCATCTGCCGGGACCAGTTGGAGAATCATATATCAAATTTTCTTTTCTTTCAAATGTAAAATAATCATTTTTACTTGCTTGAACAATAAGTATTGATAACATTTTCCCGTTTGTTTCAGATCTCCACTCTCCAGGACACACCAGAATTACTGGGCTTCCTGAGGAACACCAGCAGTCCTCCTCACCGCCACAAACGATCTATCAGCACCGCTCAGGATTACAGCAATAAAACCTTGGTGAGCCAGCTGTAAAGTCTCTAAAGAAAACAAACTAAGCCAAATCTTCATTAGCCATTCACAGGTGTTTGATATATTTCTTCTCCCTCCACCAACCCTCTCCTTATGCAGAACTGCACTAATGTCTCCTGTCTGAAGATAATGTGTGTGGTCGGCCGGTTGGATCGCGGGCAGAGTGCTGTGGTAAAGATCCGATCGCGACTCTGGGCGCACACTTTCCTGCAGGTCAGTTGATTTTTTTTGTGTTAACTTTTTGTTTTACTTTAATCGCTCAACTCACTCAGCAGGAAGGTCTGATATGTAACACGCCACCTTTAAAATAATAACTTTTTTATCTTAAAGCGGCGTAATGACCCCTACATTCTCAACTCTACCGTGTCCTTTGCGGTCACATCGATGCCTTATCGCATCCAACCCGCCACGCTGCCTCAGCACAGAAGCGCGGTATGATAAAAAGCAATAAAAATGAGTCTTTATGCCAAGCTTTGAGAAAAAAGGAAAAATTTATAGACAGTTTTTTTTCCCTGCAGATGGGGACTCTGGTGTTATGGGGGACTCCTGATGTATCATTCGCTGTTCCACTCTGGGTCATCATCTTGGCCATATTGCTGGGGCTGCTGGTCCTGGCCATCCTGACATTAGCCATGTGGAAGGTACATAAATCATCCACTATCCTCAGAACTCCTTGTGGTAGTTTAATTATTAAAAACTCTACTAACTGGCTAATGTGATTCCCTCAGTGTGGTTTCTTTGACCGGGCGCGGCCACCTGCCGATGATGACATCTCTGACCAGGAGAAACTGACGTCTGATCAAACAGGTGATGCATAAGACGTGACAGCTGCTGGTTGTAAGACAGCGGTTTGGGAGGGATGCGCACCTTCTGAATGACTTAAATCAGATCTGGGATCTGTATTAGTCGGGACCGACATTCCTTGGCTCGAGGTCTCTCTGTGAATCAACCGGACTGAAAGGACAAACCGAAAACTGCAGCTCCACACAGACTGGGACCAAAGCAAAGTTGGACCAGCACACTTAACAAGCTCCATCACACACACATGTCTTTTGTTTATAGATTGCGATGAAGCACCAGAACTGAAGACAGACTGGACTTTGTTACCAAAACAATGCTTTAAATGTGTTACTGCACATTTTTGTTTGAGTAACAGAGAAAGAGACTTTAGATCTATGCACAAGTGCTGTTGTGAGTGTGTGTATGTGTAAGTCGGTGTGTGTGCAGGTACTGTACATACGTGTCTAATAGGTGTCACTTGTGTCATTCAGTTATTGATGTCTATCACCACCAGATTTAATTTATCCAAGTTCACACCCACACACACATGAGATGCAGCCACATGCATAAACAGAAAAGGCACAAAGTTGAAGTGTATATTTATGAATGTATGTGCAATAATTTGAGAGTTGTGTGATACTTAAGCTTGTTTACACTGGCATTATTTTTATTAGAGCTTAACGTTTCCATTGTTTGTGTGCATACTGTAAGTGATTAATTGTGATATTATTGTTGCTGAATAGAGCTTTTCTTTAGACTGATTTAAGCCAACACGTAACAATCAAAAAGAGAGGAACAAAGCGATACCAGTAAGAACAAAATAACTTATTATTTTCTTATAGTGAGTATAGAATTTATCTTCGAGGAACAGGCCGCATATTCACGGCTGAAGCGCTGTCCTGATAATTAACGTTTTGTCTGTCATGTTGGATGTTTAAAAAAAAAATAGCGGTTGACAAGACATCAAAAACTTGCTGCAAAGCCACAGTCCGTATCAGAAACGCAACGCAGTCCGAGACAGAGATGGTGTACATTACTGCGTGCACTGTGTATTACTTAACAGTACATTTAATGTTTGTTAATTATCTGTATCCTGCACAGACATGGAGAACAAAGCAGTGAGAACATCAGCATTTCCCTCAATTAAAAACTAAAAGTTAACGTGTACGTTTGAGCTGCTTCCGATTTTTGTATCGCCTGGGAAGTTTTATTAGAATAAAGTGTTGCTTGATTACTGATTGATTGCTGAACTTCACATTGCCGTGTCCGCTTACAAGTTAAAGAAATAGTAAATGTATTTTCTGCAAAGTGCACAGAAAACCAGTAAAGAACTTTTTGTACATGATAGACTGTGTACAATAGCTTTGTGCCTTGTCAGAGGAGCAAGGTTAACGAGTTCATTTTCCAATATGACAGCCTCTGCAGTTCTTTACAAAGTTTTAAAGAAGTTTTGCACCCAAGGATAATAAATAAATTGGGTATTTCAGTCTGTGTTTAAGTCTACTGTCTCCAAATCAGAGGAAGGACTCTTGCTCCCCCAGGTGGTGGAGTGTAGAAGTGTCTGTGCAAAGAAACTATGTTATCTAAGGAAACACAGTGCCATCTCGTGCCGTGCATTTGCCATACACTTTCTGCATAGAGGATAATGATGGCATGTAAAGGGCTTTATAGTTCATCCATCCATTTTTTTAATACTCCGTTTATCCAATTCAACAGGGCGCATATAGACATTTGTTCTCACTCACGTTAACACCTACTATCAGTTTAGAATCGCTAATTAACCAAATGCATGCAAGTCTTTGGTCTGTGGGAGGAAGCCAGAGTACCTTAAGACAGCCCACAAAAGTGCGGGGAGAACATGCAAGCAACTCCCTCTTTATAGTTAATTTACAGTTATTCACAACACTCTGTGTCAGAGGTGTCCAACATAAGGTCCAGGGGCCTGCGGGGCGGCTTTGGTAAAAGTGGAGGAAGGCATAAACTTTGGATATTTAAATGTATTTTCATACATTTTGCATTGTCCTTTCTGAAGACCTCACCTATGGCCTCTCATACTGAACCAAGTAAATAAGTAATAAATAAACAATTAAATTATAGAAAGTTCCTGTTTTGTTCCTTTATCTAATATAGAAATGTGTGTTTTTACAGTGGCTTTAAAAAAATAAATTTCTGTCATTTTCCATGTTTATTTCTTACAGTTTAAGGCCAAAAAGCCGTACTGAGAGACTTCTTTCATTTACTACAGCAGCATTTCTTTATCACGTAGAAAGATAAAGATTTAAGTGGGTGTGGCTAAGAATGTAAAACTAGTTTGATGTACAGACACTCTGTATACAGTTTATTTTTCCAAAGCTGATTTCTTCATTGAAGTTCCTTACCTTGAAGAGGAAAACATCTGTTGAGAGTAGCGTTGCTCCTTGGAGTTTCTCCATTAAGGAGCAGCTATTTCAAATCTAATACACACTACAAGTTCTCGGTTTTCAGTTCCTGATAAAATATCCTGCAAGAGGTAAATCTGCTCATTTAATATGAATGTGTGCATGTTCTCAATATGAACTGAGACTTAATGGACAGCCACACTAAACCCACGCTATTTAGTGTTTTATGAGAAAGAAACGAAATGGGATTGTGTTATTTAGCAAAGATTTCGGCAATCACAATCTTCAAAGAGCTTCTCTGCAGCGCTGTGACTGCTATTCAGAATACGAAAGATCGTTGTCAGAAATATCAAAGCAGGAGAGTGGAAGCGAAGGCGTTATCGGATATCTCTCGAGTGGAAACATTTATCATATTCTCACAGATGGTAAGCCTCATTTGAACATGAAAACACAGCTGACGGACCCTTTCCTTCTACCTCTGTCACTCACAAACACAAAAACACCCCTCCCCACCTTCACCCTTACAATACGGTAAGCAAGGACATCTTGTGGAAAGGAAACATGAACAGACACGTGCTGCATTTATTCTTTATCATCTCTTTATTTCTTTGAATATATTTGATCAAATGTAAAATCAAACATTTGGAGTAAAGATTTAACAGTTTTCTGACTAGCAAATATCAACACCATCAAAATAAAGGAACATTATTGATACTTACTACATAATGTACGCATATAGGACATACTCTATCTTAGCTAAGATTTATCCAAACAGACCCAAATTACAAAATATTTTTTTTATTTTTTATTTTTTAGTCTTTGACTCCCGTTATTTCCTGGGTTTTTGAGCTGGTGCAAAAAGAAAATATCTTAGGTGAAGCGGTATCTTGTATCCTTGTCAAATAAATGATGAAGTATTTATAGAAATAAAATGTCACTTTAAAGGTCTGTACATGGGGATCAGTGTTTTTCCTCTCCACTGGCAACAAGGTCATACCAACGTTAGAATGGAAGACTTTGGCTATTTACAAATCGCTGAGATGTTGTACAGGTAGCGTACAATTCCTCCCAGACATGCTGTACATTACTTGTGTTTATCAGTTACGCTTTCACCCCTCCCCACGCACACACACACGCGCGCACACACAAACACACACACCCATATGTCAAAGTGCAATTCCATAGATCACCACAATGCAGCACCTATATGCCATATTCAACATTGTACAGAACAGCTGTGAAAATTACATATTCTAAGGGGCCCATCTTTAGAATATAAATTAGAGTTAAAGGAGTTGGATCTATATTATTACTAAACCTTTCCAACAGTGTGATATAGACCTACTTCACAGCAGCCATTCTGGCATGAATTAGCTGGAAAACGCAGGAGTTATTATTGACATTAATGAACCATCTGTTCTGTTTAGGTGCGGCGTTATAATTCATGTGATTTCTGCGTTTACGTGTCATTTTGTGTCATAATGGCTGCTGTGGGGGGAAACCAATGGTCTTGAACTTGCAGTAAAGCGCTTACACGTGTGGTTACAAGTGCAGACTAACCTTTCAAGTACAAACTCCGCCCCCGTTAGTGTGATGATGTCCACCTTTATTTACCTTTATTAATACACACCATTTAATTCACAGCACGCACAGCTGAGTAGAGGACTGACTACCAACAATAACTGTGTGACTCTGCAGGGCTTTTGACGTTAAGACTGGTAACATGTTTCTCTTATTGTCAACAAAAACACGTGAAAAAAACATGACGATTCGTAATCAAAGGAAATCGTGACTAACATTCAAACGTGGAGCTTCATAGCATGGGTTTCCGTGGCCGAGCAGCTCCTGTAGGTCCAATGTGCAGTGGTCTGGTACTTTTGTCCACATGGTTCAGTTCCTAATTTATGTCCAATGAAATATAAACTATGATTTAGCTTTAACACCAACTATTCAGTAGGAATGAGTATAGTTTGATGCCACAGACAGGGGGCAGCGAAGAGATTTGTTGACAATAAGAAAAAGTTT